AATCCAACAAAACATAAACACATAACATTAACTCTGGTTCATTTACCAGGTACAATTTTAAGATGGAGGTACCAGCTAGCACATGTATCTACAAAGATGTGTTGGACTTCTCAGATATTCACTAACAAAGACATTGAATAATTCTTGGAGCAATTGTTTTTCTTTTACAAATAAAAAAAAAAATTATAGATTGAAAATACTTTAAATTTCAATAGGGATTTGTTAATATACAAAATCAAACCTAGCAAATGTTTTTAAATCGAAGAAATATGAGATTAGTTTCTGCTAATGTTTAAAAAAAACAAATTCTTATATTAGTCTAATTAAAGGTGATCTAATCTTTTGATCATATTTATATACTCATTTGTTTATCTTTTTACCTATATATTTATATTTTTATATGTATTTGAAATATTTTGCCACAATTGTAATACAGATATGGAACAAAAAATCAGCAAGCTAATGTTACACAGTTCAAATTTCACTTGAGTTTGCTAGATTCACTTATGTACAAATAGCTATGGTGGAAAGATATAAATCTATCTCTCAACTGTTGGTTAATTAGTAGAGCAGACTGGGCTCTTCAGTCTAGGAGAAGGATCACTCTGAATTCAAAAAACCATATGTAGTCTTGATGAAACCCATACTATTATTTTTTTTTATTTACTTTTCGATTTAAAATTTTTTTTTTAATTGAAAATTTTTTTTTTAATTTAAAATCTTATTTTTTTAAATTTAAAAAATTTTTTTTTTTTTCTTTTTAAATTTAAAAATTTTTTTTTTTTTTTAAATTTAAAAAATTTTATTCTTTTAAATTTAAAAATTTTTATTCTTTTTAAATTTAAAAAAACTTTATTCTTTTTTAAATTTAAAAAAAATTTTTTTTTTCATAAATTTAAATTTTTTTCTTTTACAATGATGTTCACTCTGTACAATGTTTGGGGACCGCATCCAGGTAGGGGTCACCGAGTAAGAGGCACATATGTGAATATATGTGGAAGATTGGCAAGTAATGAAAAGATTATGGTGTTCACAATGACTATGATCCCAACTATGTTTGGTCTTAGTTGGTTGTAATTCATACAAATGCTGTTTGTCAAGGTAAAGATACATTCTGTGCATAACAAGAAATGCATTGATTAAAATATTTTTAATAACTTGTAGGTTTTTATTTCATAAATAGTCACATAATTTCTTATATAATTATCATAATAAACTACAACATTAGATGATATCTAAAAATATGATTGATGATTTTGTCTTTGTTCTCTTTTGTTTTAGATTGTTTTAAATTTCTGAGATGGGGATTTATCATTATTTACAGTCAGACTGACATCCTTAACTTTGTTATCATAACATTTTTACCATTTATACCCTCCAGCCTTCTTCAAGTATCTGTCAATTTGGGTAAGAATTTTGAATTGAACCCTTTGTTTAATTTATGAGGATAGATTGTTTATGTCTAGGGATATGTAACAGAGAATCAGGTTAGCCCATTAAAAGACTCTAAGTTGGTTGTATGTGGTGCTGTAAACACCAAGAGTTGTGTCCCCTTCCACAATGGGCTGTTGAGAGAAGACCTTCTACTTAGTGTAGGTGGTGCCGACTATTTGCATATGAATGATACTAGGCAGGTATTAGCCAATAGTCAGCATGGGTCAAGAACTGGGAAAGCTATATAAGCACCAGGAGTTGCCCCCCTCTTCCACAATGGGCTGTTGAGAGAAGACCTTCTACTTAGTGTACGTCGTGCCGACTATTTGCATATGAATGATACTAGACAGGTATTAGCCAATAGTCAGCATGGGTCAAGAACTGGGAAAGCTATATAAGCACCGGGAGTTGCCCCCTCTTCCACAATGGGCTGTTGAGAGAAGACCTTCTACTTAGTGTAGATGGTGCCGACTATTTGTATACAAATGATACTAGGCAGGTATTAGCCAATAGTCAGCATTGGTCTAAAACTGGGAAAGCTATATAAGCACCAGTTTTTTCTCAGTCAACAGGCAGTCTCATGCAAAGACCAATTATTGCTTGCCCTGTTTGTGTCTGTACTACCTAGTCCAGGAATTTAACTCCAAATAGTATATCCCCAAATCTACAGGAGCAGTTTGTTCTTGTTCTGCTGTCCATTTCTAGGTCTGTCTATAGGTGAGAACAATAGACTAGAGAATTAAATCATTGGTTATGAAATTGATGGTATTGTAATTGTGAGTTCAATCCCTGGGTTGGGTAGTACTGAATCAGACTCAGTAGAAATAGGAATAACAATAACTGATTAGTACTAAAAAAAAAAAAAAAATTACAAACAAATGAGATATCTCTAGGCATTTAATATAGACTTGGAGTAGATAATTGGATCAGTTCAAAATTCACTGAAGGTTATCAAGATTTACAAACACCTGAGGGTTTGAAGGTATTAGTCTGTAACTAGCATAAAAAAAAAAAAAATTATTTGATAGTACATACATACAGATATTTACTAATTATTATTTCAGCTAAGTCTGGTATAGTTATATAGGAAGGTGAAAATTATGCCAAATTTACAAGTGCAGAGAGCTTACTGAGAAAATCAGCATTTAGAAATCTTGTCTTTGACCTGTATTTGAAACTGGTCCAAACTCTACCCACAAATGGAGAAATACATAACTATCTCCACTAGGAGACAAGTATTGAGTATTTGTTAGATAAATACTAAAAAAGTTTTGTCTATATTTGCTTATTTAATTATTCTATTCCTGGAGTTTGCTAATAATTTGGAATGAATGAATGAGAAAAATGAGTTGTATTTACAGTAAATTTTTTTTTTTTTTTTTAGTGTGTACCCATATTTGAGTAAAACAGTGTATTTATTTATTTTCACCTACTTGCCTGAATATTCAAGAAATCTTGTTGAAGAAAAATATGTGCTTTCCAGGAGGATTCAAACTTGTGTTCACCTTGGTAGGAGAAACAGTCATTTGATCTATTGTGCTTATACCAACTCAGCTATGGAGTGCATCACCGACCAAGTAAAGTTTATAATGTACTATTCAACTTTACTAAATAAATAGAGCGTCTACCAATCATTCTTTTTGAATTTCTTACTATTGACTTTTCAGGGTTGCTCGTTTACTTTTTATTTTTGGTGGGGATTAACTACCAGCTCTTAGTACTGAGAAATTGTTATCAAGCTAGACTAGCACTACTAAAGTGAATTAAATTTCCACTGGATTCCCCAACACTTGTGTTGTTCTAAATTAAACTAAATATTAATGGACAGTTGAAATAGTTGGGTATTTCCTCGTTAGTGTTAGTGATTGGGGCTTGCATGATGCTATGATTGAGACAGCTACATAAAAGGATAAGAGGTGATTAGGACTTAGGACTTTTGAAAACTAAATAGAACCGTTTGTTTGGTTAATTATTTTATCTGGGGGGAAAAAAAATGTAATGCATTCTTTACATCTAGCAAAAATCAAACTGGCTCAAGTAAAATTTTTTTTTTTTTTTCTTCTTTGAAACTAGATGTGTGTATTGTCTCATTTTTTTTTCTTTCTTTCTTAGAATTCTCTGTCTTCTGCCAATAGTTATACGTGTATGTATATAGCTCACACTTCACCTGATTTGAATGTTATAGGGAAGGAATAAATAATCTTATTTCAATCTTCCAGGTGAACTGTTTGCAACATTAATGCTCAAAATCTTGGCTTTTACCTGAGTTCAAGTCTAAACATACAACAAAACACTTGCCCAGCTTTCCACTGATTGGCCAATGACTACCCCATAGTTGTTTCCATTCACATTCATGTAAATGTGCACCAAAACTGGATAAAGTCCACTGCACGTTCACAAGGAAATAAAAAATGAATAAATAAAATGCCACATATATAAATAAGAACCTTCTTTCCAATATATTCAAGGCTTTGCTTGCCCAGTCTTGGTGGGTAGGTAGGTGACACTCAGAACAACTTCTGCTCAGTTGGACTAACTTACAGCTCTTCACTTCAATTTTTCTTTCCTGCCAACTTATGGATCATCTCAACATCACAATGTATGGCTGGCAACACAAACAGGCAGCAATGGAACTACTCAAGGAAAGTTCAGTTCCTTGCTAATGGTGGGCTAGAACTCCCTACTTCAACTGTGATTATTAATATAGATCAACAGCAGGAAATCATCAATATCCAGTTTGTTGTCACTTGACCTGTAAATGCCCTCATCCACTCACTTATTCTTCTATTCCCTTTTAATCAAGTAAATGTCACTTAGAAGACCCAACTTCAAAGTTTTTATCTGCTAGTCATAAATCTGGAAACACTTGATATCAAGATTAAATCACCCCTTCTTCTTTTATGTAGCTGTCTCAATCATAGCGTCATGCAAGCACCAATCACTGACACTAACAAGGAAATACCCAACTATTTCAATTGTCTATTAATATTTAGTTTAATTTAGAACAACACAAGTGTTGGGGCATCCAGTAGGAATTTAATTCACTTTAGTAGTGCTAGTCTAGCTTGATAATGATTTCTCAGTAGTAAGGCTCTCAATAGGCTTGGTGTTGACAAAATATGCAAGGTATTAAAGATAGGAAAATCAAGAGTTTGAATGGACATTAAGGAAAGGTGTGGATAAGTGAATAACTATCAATAGAAGACTGGATGGAAATATTTTCAGAGAATGAAAGAACATTATTTAGAAGATGATACAATTGTCTGATACTTGGATGATAATGGAAAGAAAGGAAATTATGTCGTAAAAGCAGAGAAAATTTCTTTAAAATCAAAAGAAATGATGCTTATGATTGGCTATGTTTTTTTTTTCTTCTTTGCCTTTTATTTGGTAATTTTCTGTAATTCTATTTGATTATGAAATTACATTAATTTCCAATATTTCTTCATTTAAAAAAAAAAAAAAAACTGCATTGAAAAATTGGCATTGTTGCCTTTTTCTGCTCGTCTTTTTTTTTATTTTATTTTATTTTTCTTTCTCTTTGATGATTCCTGCTTGTTTTGTAGATCCAACCAGCATCATCATCATGAAGACAAAAGCAGCAAATCTACAGCAGGAAGTGGGACAAAAAAAGGTGATGGCCTGGGAGATGAGGCGGAAGAAGAGGAGGAAGATGGTGATATAGAAGAGTTAAGGTAAGCCTGTTACCCAATCTATTAGTGCGTGTGTGCGTTCGCACATATAAGTTTCTTTCATTACATTTTGACTCTCCTGGAGTGTTACCTTACAGATTGAGTATCAATTATGCAAAACTACTACTATGTGATTTTATTTATTTATTTATTTATTTTTTTTTTTTTTTTTTTTTTTTTTTTTCTTTTTACTCTGACACCCATATGTTAAAACACAGGTTCTCATATGATCACCAAAGTTAAGCAACATCAAGCCTTGTCAGAATTTAGATGGCTAACTGCTTGGGAATACCAGGTGCTATAAGCTTGTATTTGCAAGTGGTGTAATAAATAACAGCTCAGAATTTGAAATTGTAGAGCAGAGTTCCAATTACAGTCAGGTTTGTTATTCACATTTGCGCAAATACCCTTGTGGAAATTATGAATTCACCTCTTCTCCCCCTCAGAGATGGGCTAATTAGTAGGACTTGTAACAGCAAATCATTATCTCCCAAAAATTCTTGCAATCTAAAAATATTTTCTGGCTTTAAATAACCTGTTGTATCCTTAAAGAGATTACAGACAAAGGTGGTACTCGAGTGAAGGAACAGCAACACATGAGCAGATGACAAAAAATGAGGTTTATCATAAAAGAGAATACACTACTAAAAGACATGGAATCGGGTGTCAGGCTAGTAATTCCCAAAGCAAACACCCAGGTATATCCTGTGCTCACTATATATAGCTACTGATATAGTCAGTCCACATAGGCGATAGGGAGTGTGGGACATTCCATTATAACATAACCCATGACAGATTAATAACCTGTTAGAAAATTTTGTTTTTACTATATATGAGCATAGGTGTGAAATATACACATCCAATGAAAAGTATAATTTACATGTTGATTCACATTTTTAGGTTTGACATTGTAATGAATTCTATACACAAGAGGCTCACAATCTGTCTATAATAATAAATATTAGCAAAATCCATGTAATTTCCACAGATTTACTAATAAATCTTTCAATGAAACACTATGTACTTTTGTGGACCGTGGTTTTTTTTTTTTGGTTATGCATTGCGATCTGAACACGTGTGTAACTCCTGAAATAAAGTCCACTACAAATATGGAAGACTCTGAGAATGTGTCTACCAAAAAGAAAATGTAATAGAAAAACAACAAGAAACTGATATACATGTACAAACAAGTATATATATTTAACAAAAAAAAGGCTTACAGAAGACAAAAACATTAATGTGTGTGTATGTGCATGAACGTAAAGAGTTTGTCTTTCAGAGTATGTTCATACGTATGTGTGTGTGTGTGTGTGCGTGCGCACACATAATGTTCATGGCATTTTCCCAAGGAAAAGCATAGTGCACCACACAAAGGGGAAAATGCAATCTTCTGCAAGAGCTTTACATCGTCGCAGTGTCTGCTGAAAAGTGGAAGAAAAGAGAGAGAGAGAGAGAATGTAGTATTCTCAAGTATTTATACTTTAGAGATAGCGACCCCTAGGAACAATTTGGACAATTAGAAAATTAAGGAGGAGTTAACTCTGACACTTTTCAACCCTCTGACCAATCCCTGATAGTTATAAGAAAAGTGTGGTGTCATCTCTTGAAAATACAGAAATGTGGTATGACGCACATCTTCATTAATAATCTGGAACTATTTTCCATAAGATAGGATAAACATGAATTATATATATTCTCGATACCTGAAATGAAATAAGTTGATGTGTAATCTGGAGATGTATGTTATCTGTAGAGATAGACAGCAGGTCACAAAACCTGATTTAACCCTCACTACAAATAACTGCCTTTATCTAAGATGATACCCCCTCCCTCCAATCCCTCTCAGGTACATTATCTTTTTGTCTCTGTCCCTCTCTTTCTATTTTTTCTATTTTACTCTCTATGTTCTCTCCTTTATGTTTGCCTCTCTAATCCTTCTCTATGTTGCTTGCATTTTTGACTCACTATGTCCCTCTCTTTCTCTATCTATCTATCTCTGTTTTATTCACTATGACCCTCTCTCTTTCTGTTTGCCTCTTGACCAAGCATAAGTGTGTTTATTATCTGAAATACCGAGATTCCATAGCCCATTTAAACTCCCACCCACTTGTGATAAATCAACAAAGATGGCCTGAATAACTCCTTGAGTAATTGATATATTATTTGTATAATAATATGGTATTTGTTGACATGTAAAAGGGTGGGGGTGGTGACAGAACTTATTTAATAGAGGACACACATAAAGTAAACTTCAGATGTTTGAGAGTTGCAAGATATGAATATTCCTGTGAAACCATTGTTGCTATTCAGAATTGAAGAATAAACTTTCGCTCAAACATTAACAATAGGATTTTAATACTTAAATATTTTTATAATCATGAACTTATGTCTTTATCTAGTGGAATCAGTGTTCAAATCTGGTAAATAATTAACCCATTTTTTTTTTTTTTTGTTGTTTAAATTTTGATATTAAATGTGATGAGAAAATGATCTTTAACATATTTCCAAGCTAAAAATGCAAAAAGAACATATGTGCCTCATGGTCCTTGGTTTGGTTATCTCGTCCCTCTAATCTGATCTCCACAATTCCAAAGAAAATGGTTACTAACATATTTCCAAACTAAAAAGGTAAAAAGAACATATGCATCATTATCCTTGGTTTGGTCATCTTCTCTCTCTAATTGGATCTCCATAGTTCCAGAACTTGCGGAAAATGTGAGACCAAGACCTCATGATGAGTTGCTCTCCTGGAGGTTAGCATTAGTCATACTGATAGAAAGCAAAAATGGTTCTCTGAGATGACTAAAAGACAGTAGTTTTGTTTTTGGAAGTGTTAAAGTTTACAAGCCATTTCTTGCCCTGTCTAAATTTATCCTATTATAATTGTGCTTGTCCTTCCCTTCATTAGTTCACACAACCTTTACGTCCTGCCAATAACCCTATAAATATTCCGTTTTGATCACATGGACCGAGGGGAAAAAACACTATCTGGTTCCAGTGAGAAATTGAAAGAAAGAAGGTAAAATAGAAGTGGAGAAAGAGAATCATATTAAGCTGATCAGAACAGATACTACACTTTGATTTTAGCCAAAAGTCAGAGAAACCCTGGCGACTGTCATTTTTCAGATACGCAGTATCAAACAATGAAACCCGAGTAAGGCAATCACCAAAAATCAAGTTACCATAAATAACATTGTCTGCTGAATTATTTATAAATTACTATTAAGAGAAATGTTTCTAAAACGGGGATTTGACTAGAAAGAAAGAAGGGAAGTTAAAAGTGTTTACTGTCTCCTTCCAATAACACAAATATTCTGTTTTTGATTGTATAGAAAGACAAAAGATATACACTACAAGGTTTCAGTGAGAAAATGAATGAAAGAAAAGGAAAATAAAAATGTTTAATGACTGTTTAAAAGGAAATGGAAAAGTTGTCAATTTTAATTTTTTTCATTTGTACCCCCTTCTTAAAATAAGTCGGCATTCATTGTTATTGCAATATTTTGTTAAAGTTGTTAAGTTCAAATATTCAATGATATGATAGGGGAATTTCTATGAATGTTTCATTGTTGTAGAACTTGCCATGAGCTTATTCAATCATTAATTGAAGAATTAAGATTGATCAGAAAATTCAAATAAGAAAACATGATATTTTCACAGGTCTTTCAAGTATTTATGATTGTAAATGAAGTTTGAAATTTATGGTCAAATCACACTGACAGCACTAATTCTTATTTGATTTCCAAAGTTAGTTTGGTTAATCTTTAAAATGGGTCCTATTTGGGAACACTGGTTACTGTAATCAATAGGAAACAACAACAAAAAATGGCAGTGTGTATGATGACAGGTTGTTTCAAATCATATCTTACATCTATTTAGCAGAGGAATGTTACTTTCAATGTCAAAGAAATGCCATCTCTAAAGATGTGACACTGCAATCGCTAGTAGGAGATGCAACCACTAAGTGTACCAAATCACTTGGAATGCAACTGAATCTAGTGTATACTTGAAGACAATTGATACAAATGGAATAGAGAATTTTCAAATTTGTCTTTAAATATGTTAATACAAAACATAATTGGCTACAGAAGCTTGAAAATAATAAAAAATTCAAAATACTTTCAAGTCCAATAATGTTAACTGCAGACATCAGGAAATGCCCAGATTATTGCTCTATAATGCAAGGAGACATCTGATCTGGAGTAAATGGGCTGTGAAATACAGTTTGAATTGTAGTAATGAGAATATGCTTAATAAGATTTATCTGATGTCATTTTATGGGTTACATTAAGATACAATAGTTTTTTTAGAAGATGATTTTTCAATTTCTTTTTATTTCTTTTTAATATTTTTTATTAAGATATGCTTGTATATTCTTTTATACACACACACACACACACACACACACACATTCTTTTTACACACACACTTCATTTTTTTTAGACTTCAAAAGATTGTTTCTGCAATACATGAGATTAGGTAAAAAATGACTTAAGTCATTGGAAATAAAATTATTTGCATGTCTTCATTAAAAATTAATTAAATGCCTTGATTTTGTTTCATTTAGTCTTTCCATTGTGGCCACTGATCTTAATGCTGGAGTTGAAACTGAGCTACGGAAATGTTTGGTCCAGCGACTGTCCAAAGGAGTTGACTGTGTGGGCAGTGGGAACGTGGTCAGCCTAACATCCAGGTATTTAAGAATTTTGCATTATTCTCAGAAGATATGAAGCATGCAAAAACTGTCCACACTCTCTCTCTCCCTCTCTCTCTTACTCTCTCTCCCTCACTCTCTCTCTCCCCCTCTCTCTCTCTCCCTCTCTTTCTCTCTCCCTCTCTTTCTCTCTCTCTCCTCTCTTTCTCTCTCCCCTCTTTCTCTCCCCTCTTTCTCTCTCCCTCTCCCCCTCTCTCTTTCCCTCCATCTCCCCTCTATATCCCTCCCCTCTCCTCTATATCCCTCCCTCTCTCCCCCCTCTTCCCCTTCCTCTCCCTCTATTTCCCTCCCCCTATCTCCAGCTTTTATGATACACAAAATATTTAAATCTGATAATGTGTAGAAAGAAAAAGAAAAAAAAATGAAAATATTGCTTCTTCTGTCTCGTAATAATTGTATGAGATGTGCCTGTAAATATAACGATTATTATGGGACAGATGTAGTACTGTAAACATTTTGTGAAACAGTCAGAAATGCACCTACCTCTTCATAATAAAAAAAAAAATCTATGTTACTGCTTTCCTCAATTGGCCTAATTTTTCCTGCTAGTGTGATTGAGTCTTCAGCATACCGACCCAACTCTCTACCCCCTTTTACAGTATCAGCACAGGAAATACAGTAGTGGTATTTTTTTGTTTTTGTAGCTAAAATGTTTCCAATCATTGTACTTTGGGAGTAAGAATATCAATAAAGGCAATGTTTAACCTTCATGCCCGTAAGAAAAGAGAAAAAAAAACTGGTGTGTCAAACAAAGAGACGGTTATTCCCTTAACACCACTATTACTGTACCCACTTTTGACTCCTTCGGCAATGTTTATTTACAAAATTATAAGAAATATGTGAGCCAAGTACAATGCGATATTTATTCTTTATCTTTTATAAAGATTTTATGAGGTGAAATCAAATAAAAGAAATGCCTGGAAAATTTGTAATTACAGTTACTCATTATATGTTTACTTAAATTTTCTTTTTCATAGACATTTTTATAAATTTATGAATAAAGATTTCTTTTCATATTTATTTATTTTATAAAATGGTAAATAATAAATATTTCATTATAGTTGATTCACATATTTTTATAATCTTGTAAATGTAAGATTGTTCTTATAAACAGTGCCACATATTGGGATCATCTACTTAGGTCACTATTATCAAGAAGTCACCTTCCTGGCAAATTGACTATGGTGACATTCAAACCTGTGTCTCATTGTGAGAATGATAACATTCTAACCACTGAGCCATGGAGGCCCTTTATATATATATATATATATATATATACAGAAATATAGTCTTAAGGTTTGCTATATTTATGGAATAAAGTGCTCAATATCAGAGATAGAGCGTGTGTAAATATAAATGGCCTGACGATTGCATATAGCATGAAACAGACTGTCACCTCTAAGTGTTGACTTCTATGTTCACTTTTTTATATATATATATATATATATATATATATAAGTAACTAGGACTTGATATATAAATACAGTTTTGAAAATACAGTGACATTTTATCTTAAGGAGTCCTTTCAACCAAGACTTCATCAGAAGGAACATGTTGGCAAAATTAATGATGAAAACAAAGAAATGGAAAATTCACACAGCAGAAATAAGGAAGTGAATTGGTGAAATTATGGAACACAATTAAAATCTATTTATTGATAAAAGAATTTACAAATAAAAAAAAAAAAAAAAAAAATAGTTCCAAGTGAGTATAAAATGTAAAACTAGTACTCCCAAACATCCTAAAAAGATTGAGGGAGCAAATGAAATGCTTCTTCTGTTTGCACAGAACCAGTCGACGTAACTTAATATGGACTGCTCCAATGAGATGTAAATGATGAGCAGACCAGGTTCTGTGCAAAACTGTGCAAGAATTATTCACATATTTGTTGGTGCAGACTGAGTTACTCTCAAAGAGACAATCAAGCTACACAGTCTTAAACTGGCAGGAACGTGCTGACTAATTCGGGTTTCAAGTTGTTGATTGGTTTGTCCTACATATTCGGCTTTGGACTGACATTTGAATTTACATACAATAGAGCTACTTTGAAAATAGTACGAACCATCTATGACAAATGGAGAAAACCTGGAACTAGTCCCCAAAATAACCTGCAACCCGGCAGTCAAAAGACCTCATGTAATGCAGGCCAATACTCTCAGCCAGCATTTGACTTTTCCCAGCTGGCCACGGTAATTTTAAATAAACGAGACACAGGTTAGGAACAAACACTATCGGTTCTTTAAAGTGTTTAATCTTATGCTCAACAACACATTTAATGACATAAACATTGTCACAAAGAATGCAATGAATGCTCTCCAATTCTTGATTGAATCTGCAAGGAGAAAAATCATCAACACACGATCAGCCAAAGTAGAGATCAAGTTTATCTTAAGAGACTTAGGCACGAAAGAATTCCAGTTGATGTCTAGACCTGTGAACATAGTCTTCTGATAAAAACTAATAATGAATAAACCCCCAAAGGCAAGGTACAATTGTTTTCCACTTCCATGGTGAATTGATGGGATGGATGAAGGGAATTGAGTTGGGTTATGAAGCACAAAGTCACAAGTCATCGTGACTGAGGTTTTGGCTCTGCTGGCCTTGTTCAGACTGTTGATAACACACTCTCTCCCATAAACTGTAACTAAGGTCTGCTTAGCATAGTTGCATTATAAACCACAGGTGGGCTCTGTGGGTATTGAAAAAACACAAACTTGACTGAGCAAGTGTCTGCAATGGGATTAGCTAGCTACTCCATTAGATGGGCATCCTTTGATATGAGTGGTTAGCAATTTTCATATAATATATATATATATATATATATATATATATATATATATATACACACACACACACTCTGAGTACTTTTATCTATAAACATAGCATGCCTTAAAACTAAATTGTTTTTTATCATTTTGTGTGTGTGTAGGTTGTCTAATGGTTATTGATGAAGAAAGTAGAATTGCCAAGGCAAGTTTAAATTTCATCTCACATACCCTTGGGGAAGGCCTGTTTCCCTCCTTACTCCCTCTTCTTTTACTAGGGGTTAAATAGCAGAGTAGTTTTTTTTTTTTTTTCTTGCCAGTTAGTATTGAATAGAAAATTGTGGAATGTCATGATTGCCAACGCCCCGAAATGACACTGTACATAGAAGAAGCTGCCTTTAACAGTGTCTAGTTTAGTAGATGGGCTATTCTGAATTTAAAACCATGGGAAAGGCAGCAAAAAGTTACTCGCTGTTGTGAGAAGTCATAGCAATTCCCACATATTAAAGAAAAGGAAGTTGTGCAGAAGCAAAAAGGAAAATAGCATTTAAAAAATAAAGAAAAATTATTAAGGATGATTTTTTTTTTTTTTTTTTTTTTTACCCAAGTATCGAACTTGAAGACTAGTAACACTGTATTTAAACCATTAAACAGAGAAAGCAGAAAGAAATTAGTTAAATACTATTAGGTTTTTTGTTCAGTATATATTTCTCTCTTCTTAATAGAAAAGTAAAATGTAATAAATTTGTTTTTTTTTTTTTTTTTTTTTTTTTATTATTGAATCATCACAAAATATAGGATTTACTGAATTTCTGTGACACTCCAGTCATTTCTCCTCCTGCCCCAACTTTCTACTTTAGGTAACTTATAATTTAGTACCAATCCTTTTTTTTTTTTAAAGCTTAGCTAATTTTTCATTGTATGACTAGATTTTGGTATTATGTACTCAGAGATGAATTTTATACATTAGAGTGAGTTAAAATGACTACAAAATTTAGAAGTAACTTTTTTTTATTCCAATCCATATTTAACAAAGCTCTTTGTTTGATATGAAAATACAAAAAATAAATTTGTAGATAAGAATTGTTCTTTTTAAAGGGATTATTTTAAAATCTTTGCACAAAATATTTTTTCAGGCCTATAATATATACCTTGTGGTTGAGGTAGTTAAACATACCCCAATGATGCTAGATCAGTGTTCAATCTCTTGTAAAAGTTGGGATTTTGATTACTTCTTTTTTTTTTTTTTTTTTTAACCAGGTCACCTCATTTAAAAGATTGGTATAAGACAATTTTCTTACCCCCTGTATAAAACTTGCGTGTTATGAAGCTAAGTAAATATTGACATTTTATTGTAGTTTCTTAGCTTTGTTTAGAAAGGAGGGGGAATCTTTAGCAATCATATTTAGTTTCCTTTACAGCTGTTGTCAGTTTTGGATTTGAGTCCTTAAAATAAAAAGTAAATTCACTCATTTTTGTGATTCCAATCATTATATGATGGGAATCATAAAAAAATGAGTGAATTTAATTCTGCTCATTCCTCCATTAGTTAGCATCTGCATTATGCCCTGTCATTACCTCAAATAAATAATGGACCATTCTGTTTTGATTGTGAAGAAAGTGGGTATGGGAGAATATGTCTGAGAAGCTGTTTTTTTTTGGGGGGGGGTTGTTTTTTTTGAGAAAAAGAAATCATACATAATAAGAAAGAAGCGGAAGATAGTAACATTCTCCTGCATTTACATCTGCTTCAGTGAAATGGAAAACTTTTTCAATTTTGAATTTTTTTTTATTTGTACCCTCTTACTTCTTTAAATAATGACCTGTCTTCATACTTGTGATTGTTATTGCAATGTTTTAAAGTTTTTAAGCTGAAATATTTAATGATGCAACAGGGAAATTTCCACAGGTATTTCATAGTCCTAGAATTTCTACAGGTATTTCATTGTCCTAGAATTTCTACAGGTATTTCATAGTCCTAGAATTTCTACAGGTATTTCATAGTCCTAGAATTTCTACAGGTATTTCATAGTCCTGGAACTCACAAGGAACACTTTCAATCATTAACTTCAGAATTAAGTTTCATCAGAAAATTCAAATAGCAAAACTGAAATTTTCATGGGTATTTTCAGCTTATAACTAATCAGCTTATTTTTTTTTTTTTTTTCATTATCAGTTTAGTGCTTTTTGGTGTGGGATTGTTTTATCATTTCATATCAAGCAAAGCTAAGAAACAAGAAATTTCTGAGAGTGAAAGACACCAAAAACAACATTATAGGGGAGAGAGAACAATAAAAAAAAAACAGTTTTCATTTAGATAGAAAACAAATAACCTTACTGTTGTGACCAAGTATATGGTTAAGAAATAACAAAACCAGAGGTTGCAGATAAATAGTTTATTGAACAGTAAATACAACAGAAGTGTGTTACATGACTTGGAAGTGTGTATCGGTTGACCAGCGTTCAAACTATATCACAGTTCCCCCCCCCAGGCTTACTTTCCTACTATTTTTATAGTAAGTGGAAGAGTCCACAATAGCCTCATTACAGGGAAGACACTACAACACTTACATTTAAATCTTTGTAGATTGTAGTTGACAAGAAAGTAAAAAGTATTTCACAAGCGAAAAATACGAGAAAAGAAACTAGTAGAATAGAATTTACAATTTACATTTAGTAATTTCAACAGTAAAATGATGGGACCTAACTGCCAAACTAGTACTATACTTAAATTCATTAAATCAAGTTACTAAAGAGGAAAGCTCATCAGAACAATTACCATGAAAATATTTACAGAAAAGCCACTGGGAAGCTATGTTACGATGATGGGAAATGGATTGATGCTGGGATGTCAGGTCAGGACCGATAATATTGCGGATTCTTCTTTGGATTTTGAATCTCTAGATATAGAGCAGAAATAGCAGACTAGATATATTTAGATGTAATTTTTCTTTTTGTTAATGTTTTGTAATTGTATTTCCAGTGAAAACTCGGAATTCCCTTCAGTTTGTTATTATTGTTTATGGAAGTCTGACTCGAATCCCTCTGTTACTTGTGGTGCTCCACTGCTGCCTCCGTCCGCAACAACACAGACGTCTTCCACTGGAGATTACCTTGTCTGCTTTCTGTTTGGTGAGGAAGATTCTCTTGAACAATATCCTTTTTTTTTTTTTTTTTTTTCTTTGCTCTTCTATTGCTCAGGGATTTAGAAGAATTGTCTCATTTGTATTTGAAATATATTTTATTAAAGAAATTTTAATTTTATTGGCTTTGAGAAGAGTCATTAAGATTCAAAGCTATATTTGGACAATTGATTGTTTTCACATTTTCCGTCTTGGGTTTGACGATAAACTGCATCCGCGTCCTGGGTAAGACGATAAACTATGTCCAACAGCAAGGCCTCTGATCAGGAGGTTTTGAGGAGCATGGAACCACCTCTTAATTGCTGGTGTTCCTAGGTTCACCCTGACCTGGGGTGGTAGCACCTGTTACGGTCCCAGCTATGGGCAAATAGTTAACCCTGAAACTGAGGTAAAAAGCATTTTGAAAGTGTAAAAATAGGTTTTAATACCAGAAATACTTTGTAAAAAATTATTACCAGAAATAAATTTTTGAAGAAAAAAAAACTATTACCAGCAATATATTTCTGGAAAAAAAAATTACCAGCAATACATATTTTAGAATAATATTACCAGCTATACATTTTTGAGGAAAAAAATATTATCAGAAATAGATTTTTGACAAAACAAAAATATTACCAGAAGAGGAAAAAAGAAAAAAGTTTTCAGCATTAAATAATTCATTGAGATTGATATGCCGTAAAACACACCAAACCATCTTCACATTTTTCATGCACCTTTTGACCAAATCGGATTTCAGATTTCATTTTGGTTATCTATTAGATTTTAAGATTATCAGATCAGTTTCTAAATAATTAAAGGATTTTATTTTTAATCCAACATTTTTTATTACTTCAAATATTATTATAGTGGATACTCATATTTGAAATAGACACCCTGTTTTTATTTATTAAATAGTGTGCTTTGTATCTATCAGTATGTGTATCTGAGACATCTTAGTAAATATGTTCTCTGGCAGGGATTAAATATGTGTGAATAATAAAAATGTTGGATTGAAAATAAATTCATTAATTCTTTAGAAATTGTTTTGTTTTCATCTCAGATAAAAAAAAAAAAAAACTGAGCAGATAGAGGCACACAAAAAAAATAATCTGAGTGGACAAACAAAAGGGGGGAAAATAAACCCTGTAACATTCTTTGTGGCTAAGTGGTAAGGTACACTGGATTGGTTGTTCCTCTATAAAGGGAGATGCAGGTTCAATCCCTGCCTGGAGAACACATTTTCTTTACATTTCTTGAATGCACAGGCTGATAAATCTAATACACACTGTTTAATAAATAAAAATGGGGCATCTATTTCAAATACGAGTATCTGCTATAGCAACATTTGAAGTAATAATTATCAGCTCAGTTTTAAAATCTTAATGAGATAAAAGAATGTTCTTAGACAAGTTGGTTTAATCATTGTATATTGGTTAGTTCATACTAAGCTGCTAGTTCATACTAATTTCCTTGACTGAGGAATAATATTTGTCAAAGGAAAAGGTATATAAAACAGAAATTAAATTTTATGTCCTTTTTCCCCAAACATATAATGCCTGACTTCTCATTTCCAAGTATGTTCATCTGTTACACTTCTTTTTTTTTCTTTTTAATTCATTCACTACTGAATGTATTTTACAGAAACTTTAAGATCTGTCTTATTTTTTCAAACACAAAATTCTCTTGTTGCACACAAATTTCTTCCTTTTTTTTTTTTTTTTTCTTTTGGCTGTCCAATGTAACTGATATTCACTAAAGAAAAATCTTTCCTTAACATTTGATCAATTTTCGAGTTGACCTTGATGACTACAGTGGAGGTGTTCTGCAATACCTTGATGCTGAGGTGAGTTTGATATTTATTTCCCTAATCCCTTGTTGGATTAAGATTAAGTCCTTTCAAGACACAACACTTCATCTTCTCATAAAGGTTTATAGAAATCTGAGTAGTGACTTTCTTCCAGGAATCTTAAACAAAAGGAATGGTTCTTGTTGTTGGAATGTTGACTTGATCGTTGTTTAAATATTATTCTATTAAGTGTGTGCATAAGTTCTCAGTATTTTTTAATTGAATGTACAATTATAAACCATTTTTCTTTCTGGATACTTTTGCACACATCTAATAGTTTTCTGACTTTGCATGGAATGCTATTGTATGATTACTGTGCTATGCCATTTTATATATCATTTTTGTATGCCTATACCAACTAAAACTTTAATTTTTCCATTAATGTTTCTTTGTTTCTTCTCAGTTTTGAAGTTTCTATGTTAAGTTTGAGCGGTTAAAAATTAGTTTTAATATTACATGTAAAACAATTTCTGTTGTATAAAATAATAAATACAGATGAAACCTTAACTTTAAAATAAAGAACTCTGATAAAAAATGTGTTTTAACATGCAATATTACCTATTTAATAAACACCAATTAGGTTATTTACACTATTTACATGCAGACCACTGTCCTCCTCTTTGTTTCAGTGATTGTTCCCCCTGGCCTCTGACCTTGAATTTGGTGACCTAGTAATTATGAGTTTAATCCTTGGGGATTGGGCAGTGTGCATTTGGTCTTCCTGGTGTGGCCAGAGTATGAAAGTGTCATCTCAGCCATCTGTTGGCTTTACTGTGGCAGCTCCTTGAAGTATTCCATGCATATGTTCGCTATCACTAGTGGCCACTTCATCAGCAGACAGGCAGGTTAGGTTTAAAGCTCCAAGTTCTCCACAGAGAATAGCCTAGTAGATTAAAATGTTGGTTTGTAAATTTGATGAAATAGTAATTGTGAGTTCAATCCCTGGGCTGGGCAATGTGTATTTGGACTCAGTGAAACAGGGTAAACAATAACTGAGCAGTACTAAAAATAAGCTAGATGAGATATCCCTAGACATGGGCAGTGGAAAGAGAACAATTTATCTGTGTAAGTTAAATAAAAGGTTCAGTTCAGAATTCCCTGTAGGATACTTTGATCAACATACACCTGATGAAGGCCAGAGGGTACAACTGCTGAAACCTTGTGATAACAACAACAAATAGTGTAAATAATGATAACTCCTCATCCCAGAAATTCAATGATACAACAAGATGAGGACAATAGTCCTAATCTAAATAGTGTCAATAATGATAACTCATAATCCTAGAAATACCAATTAGGATAATTTAAAAAAAAATAATCAAATCATAAATGTTTTAATTTATTGTAACTTTCAAGAGTAATTAAGAACCACAAAAATGATAAAGATTTTAATGAAGATTTCACATGAATATTAATCACTACTAATTTAAGAACTAAGCACAAAACAGAATTATAACAAAGGCTTTAAGAAATTTGGCTGAAAATTTCCATCACTGCTTTGAACAAAGAAGGTGAAATTGTTATCCTTAATAAGAATGCCTATATAGAATTGTCATCCTTAATAAGAATGCCTATATAGAAATAAAAAACTTCTAGTGTCTTATCAAGTGATGGTGTTGAATGTAGAACCCTATATATATATATATATATATATATATATATATATATATATATTAAACGTAATGACTATTATGGAACAAAATCATAGATTCTTTTTATACTCTTAAATCCACCCTTGATTTATTGTTGGCTAGTTGTATGAATCTGAGGATCATCAAGGTCTTTTCTAAGAACCTCTAAGACAAGGAGGGTTAATTGTAAATGCCGTTCTCCTCTCCAAAGACGGGTAGTTGTGAGTTAAATGGTTCTAGCTGCATAGAAGAATTCCTGTATTCTTCAATATCGGCTATTATGGCATGCAATGATGAGATCATTGTCAGAACATCTGCCAAGGCAAGTGAACACAGGGAAAAACGGATTCATGCATGTTTCAAAAAATATTCAGCTGAAATGAACATGATTTTAACCAAGATGTGGCAGAAATACTTCCCACATAATGGTAAGACTAGTATTACTGGCAATGTCTTATTATGTGGGATTTATTTCTGCCACACCCTGTATAAAACCCACCCAAACAACTATACATAGTACCTAGTACTACCAGTGAAATATCAGTAAGTTATATATATAGTCCTGCTTTGAGTTAACCAGGCAAGTGAAATAACCACCACACTAATGTTCTGCTCCTTGAATGACATGGTAAAATAACTTGCAGATACTACACTCTGATCCTCATCAGAGGGCCAAGGAACAACTTTTTGATTTTTAAGCAGAAGTGCTTTTCCATATATAAATACCCTGTTATTTTGACAGGTAGTATGCTAGTTGATGATAAACACTTTACCATTTCATACTTAAATATATTATTTACCAAATGTATTTCTGCATTCTTAAATAAAAATGTCCAAATATTTAATGAAATATTCAGTCTTGAAAT